CAACCAAAAATTCAATAAATGCCATTATAAAGACTCAAATACAGTTTCAAATAGTTGAATGATATCCACGTTAAAAAAATGAAAATTCCTTTAAATTTCACCTCTACCCCGTTTTTCAACGTGCCTGAAACTTTCAGAACTGGCATAGAGCGATACTCTTCTTCCAAGAATTGTTTGCTGTTGTCGTTATCGTTAGAAGAAATAACAATCTTCGCTTTAAGAGGCATACTCCAGTCCTCATTTTCAAGCATTTTTGTTGGGGGGAGGACGGCCTATAAGACAAATTACAATGCATTGGTCAACGGAACAAAAACAAAATAAATAAAAAGAAACCACTATACTTCTGCTTCATTACACTGCTAAAAAATCCTAGATATTTTAAACAGCATACTAAGTAAGGTTTTTTTGCAAGCAAACGAAGAGTGTTTTCCTCGTTTGTTTCGTCTGTAAGAATGTGCACGACTTTTTGCTCAACACAGTAAGAAGCCTTACCGCAACTTTCTTCATTGACTCCAGAAAGCAGGAAAGCTGGTTGCCAAAGTTTTTATACAGCTGACAGGCTTCCATACTAAAATATCAGGCACTCAATCTTTTTATTTTTTTAAAAGTTTTGAAAACTTAGGAATTTGAATACAACATTATTGCTATTATAAACAGTCGTACACATCCAACCTTACACCAAGCTTAGAAGATGATGTTTTGTTCTTTTCTGGAAAAACCTTATCTGAGTTCTGACAGAGTACGTAGTATGACCAAAGTTTTTCTTCCGTCCAGCTGCACAGTTCCTTTAATAATAAAAAATGAACCAACAAAGCCAGTGAAGAATGAAGAACATTTGTGTAAGAGCAAAATTTCAATTAAATAACATTGAACCTAAAGGGAAACTAAGAGACGTACATGCAATTACAATGTCGCGACTACTCCGTAAAAAGCGTGCAGTCTTCTATTTTGAGACAAAATTGCTTTTTACAAAAAATTTCAGAAAGAAAATGCCACCGATTTCCGATAATCAAAGTCATAGTGAAACAATGCAAATAAAGATTTAAGCTCAAAGAAGGAATAACTATTTCAAGACCACTTTCATTAGAACTATTACTTTTGAGACAAAAACCGTAAAATATATGTTCAATATATGATTTACACGTCTAACTTCACCACAAAAAAGAGCTTATACATATTAAATGAAACCTCTTCCCGAACGTTCAACTGCCGAAAGATCGGCCATCTATACATGCGAGCGAGTAAAGCAGTCAGCATCGCACAGCAACTCAAAGCTGAATTAAGAAGATCCTGTAAAGAGGCAGTCAATGGTAAGCGAAAACAATGAAAAATACAAAGCATAAATAAAAACGAAATCAAAAAAACAGTAAGGTTCCAACTCAATAAATGAATTTAACAACACTCAATCCACAATACTTCAATGAATGAACTACTACACAAAAACAGTTTTTTTTTTGCCACAGCAGGTTAGCAAGTATTAATCTGTAAAATATCTGTGCCACCGAAACGTACAAACGCGTCTTCAAAATGGTCAGGAGCAGTTTTTAAAATCATTGCTAACTTCATCATTTTTTGCTTCGATATCCCGATAAACGACAAAACAAAAGACAAGTTGTAACCTTCAATAACTTTGCCACGCTCTAAAAACCAATCAAATTTCAGTTCGAGAGTAAAAAACAATATTACAGCTGTTTTAACTCAATTTTTGCAGCAACTTACCTCTCCAAACATGATCTAAACACAATAGCATAACTTCATCTTCTGGTACAGCCATATTTTTTGCTACCTCCTGAACAGGTTCCTGGTCGACAAAAAGTTTAACCACAGCTGCTGAGATTTTGCAATCGTCAAAATCCCACGACTGAAAGAGGTAGAAACAAAATTCATGTTCATTGTCATAAGAGTGTTCGAAAAAAATTTTTTCCATCAAAAAATGACTATAATTACAATTTTCTTGAAAAATCTCTAGCTACTTTTTCGCAAAAATTTTTGTCAAACACTTACCGTTGTCGTTGTGTTAGAAGTTAATACTGTATTATTTTCTGTAACTATCCTAACTTCGTTCTCAGCTATATTGCGAAATGAAAGATAAAATCTAGCCAATCTTTCTTCACAACTGAAAAGAACAAATTACGACAAAAATTATAAATTATAAAAACAATGACTAAATAACTCACCCGCTTTTTTCTTGTTCAGAAAGCAACATTAAGTCGGCATCTTCTTCGGTAAATTCAACTTCTTCGCTGCTAGAACTTGAGTCTAAATATCGTAAAATCCTAGAAAGGTTTTTCCCCTTATTCTTATACCACTCGTTAACAACGTTATAAGGTTCAATCTAAAAAAATAAATGCCAACTAAAACCAGTAGTCAAAGTTCCGAAAAACACTGTAACTAACTTTTTGCCTGCTAGCGTAAATCCACCAGACTGAAAAAATAAAACCAAAATAAGTTTTGGTGCAGCAAGCGAACGATCAAACTAATCTTGCCCCTGCAGCAGCTTTTCGATATGTACAAAAACGGTGCAAGACGAGCTAATTATGCTTGATACAAACTAGTAATTTTAAACGCCCAAAATCTAGTTTTCAAATATTGTTTTGGTAAAAAATTTGCCAAAAAAAGTCACTGCTGTAGGAAAATCCATCATAAAAAATTATTAAAAAAAAAATTTAGATTACGATAAAAACTGTATCAAAAAAATAGAAAAAAACTGTTTGCTCACCTCACCATTATTTGTGAACATTGCCCAATGAAATCCAGCTACTTATTTCAGTAGCTCAAATATTCCTCCCGTCCAATGTTACTAGGTGAACTGATATCCAAAATCAAATTTCCATTGTTTCACAGAATCAAAAACGGTAAATCAAATAAATTAACCATTAGTAAAATAAGTGGGCTAAATAATACAGGTGTTACAATTTTAACGTTTTTTAGATAAGTAATATTCTTAATTCAACAAACCTATCAACTCCAAGCATATGCGTAAATGAATACATCACAAACCTAGTCTCTAGACTAGTTGACTAATATTCACAAAACAGCCTTCTGATAAAACTTCAAAAAAATTTATTTCACCACTTTTTTAAAAAAATCCCAAATTTTGAAAATAGTGAGTGTGAAGTTTCTCTCTTTCATCTCAATTCAAAAAGCTCAGCGGAATCCTACAACATTAAAACGCTATACAATTAAATAAAAATAAAAAAAATCACACTAGAACTGTGGCGCAAAGAACAAATAAAAAAAACGAATAGAAAATCAACAAAATAATATCAAATGAAATAAAAAAGCAGCAAAATTAACTGAAAATTAGATAAAATAGAATAAATAAATAGAATTTGAGAAAGCATGTGATACAGGAAAAACCAAACCATAAATTTTCTTCTATTGCCTTAAAACTTCCGAACAAAAGCTAATCATCTGGAAACAGAAGAGAATTACTGAGAAAACGTTGTTGTAAAAACTTTAAAGACTTTGTTTTAGGAGAGGTAGATGGTTAGTTCAGATCTGTTATTCTAATCCATTTCTGATCTCGACACCAGTATACCTATGCATCCTTCATGTAGTGGCTTTTTAAAAAAAGTTTGCTACAAAAATTCTGAACTTTTGGTAGTTGCTTTCTTCAGAAAATGCTTCTTCCCCTGCACATCCAAAAACTTTTGCCTACAGGTCTCTGCTATCACTTGTGAACTCTCGAAATTTAGCCCAATTATAAATCTAAAAAGCTTGAATTGCATAATAAATATAAAATTTTCTTCACACGTAAAAGATGAAAAAATCAAATCTGGACTGAGCCACTGCAGGATTAACAATTTCTCGAGATCTCGAATTGGAAAGACTCAAAGAAATCTCGCAATCTTTATAAATTTTCAACCTCGAAAAAACCAGTCATTAACCCTGCACTACTCTCACCAAAGTACTATATAAAGTGGAACCTCCATGCTTGTCTTAGCAACCATCTAAAGAAACATCCAACCTTATCTTCCGTAAATAAATCCAGAAGAAATTATTTTTAAATTTTTCCACTTATCATCGTGGCTAATGTCCAGAAAATATCGCTGAAAGTGATAATTACAAAAATACACTCCTAACAGCGCAAAATCATGCTGCAAATTAAGCTTAAAGACAACCGCTACAATATTATCTGTGCTTTTTTTTTTTGCGATGTAACCTTCCGCAAACATAAAGGTCGTATTACGCAGTTTACTGTAAATTTTATTCATTTGCTAACAGTTCTGCTACAGCAAATCATAAATAAAATCACGAACTGTACAGATGCAAGAAAAATCTACTTAGATAGCCGCACAACGATGACCGACTTCTGGACTTTAAACTCTTCCGATAGTTCGGCATCTTATAATTTGATATATATAAACAAAAGCATTCAACAATTGCGCACATAGCGCTGCTTTTAAAACTCTTTAGCATAAATATTATCAATAATCAATAAATTCGTCAGGGTAAAAATTATTGTGCAAACGAAAATCATTTAAAAAAATTTATGATCATATTACCCTGTTACAGTAATACCCATTTTGATCATATGGTAATAAATTTTCATCAATTTAGCTTTTCCAAATGAAAATTATGCAAATTGATGTCACTGTTTAAGTCATAATCAAATTTCAACAGCAAATCAAACTATAACCGCTAAAAATAAATTTATTTCTTTATTTTCAAAACTCTAGCACAGTTGCGACAAAATTTGCGACGGCTGCGCTTAGCGACTTTGAGCAATAGATTTTGCAGGGGTAAGATGTGATAATAAAATCCGTAATGTTTACTAAAGATCCAGGAGAAGGAAGGAAGACAAAAAAAGCCGCTTAAGGGCACTGCAGTTTAGCGTGCCCCATTCCCATACTTCAGTTTTCTTCCAATAAGCTAGCCTGCATACAAAAAACAGGTATTTTTTCGAAAAAAAAAAAAGACAAGTTTAGAGGTGGTTGCAATTAACTGCGACAGCGTCAGACTTTCTTCAAAAAGAAATAAATCCACAAACAATTTAAACAAAACTCGATGGAAGAAATAGCCGATAAATGATGCAGTTATTTTTTCAAAATACAATAGACAACCTTAACTTTAAAGTGTTCCAGCCGAAAACTTTCAGTTAGCAAGTGTAAACACATTAGTTTAATTCTTATATAGTTTAGTCTTTCTAAAGTTCCAAAAACACCTCGGTGCGCTGGCATTTTGCCAATGCAGCAGATGGCTAAAAATTTCTATAGCTTTTTAATATTGCGCTACAAAATATGACTCTGCAAAACCGAAAAGAATTGAAAAACGCCATTTTTTGAATTTTTGAAAATTTGAAGTCCGATTTAACGGAACTCAGTTCATAAAATTTTATTACCTTCAGGTTTATTGCTTACCTCGTTCGTTTCGTTGGCTTCTCGAGCGGGCAGGGTTTGTTTGTGAGAATTTTTTGACCTTGCATTCATACAAGAAATTCGATAAGAGTTTTGTTGAGCGTACTTGAAGAAGACTGCAGTTAAAGGGACTTCGAGAATTTTTTTAAAAGAAAATTTGGAGTGAGCAGTTCATTTTGTTCGCTGCGGCATCGGAGTTTCGTCACTGGTTTTATGTTCTACTCCAGTTTACAGCTGACGGTTTACTGACGTTTCTCTTGTATTTGTTAATTCTAAGTGCATTTTGAAAAGATGTCTTTGTAGATACTGTAATGACCACAGTCCGCCTGTATGTTTCAGCGGTGAATCATTTTTTTTTCTTTTTCCCATTTTGTAGTTTCAGTTTGTAGAATCCCCATAAACGCCTTGTACCACTAATTGAAAATATGGCAACTTCTAAAATTATTTCCAGTAGTGAAGCTTCACGGTGTATTTTAAATCAGTATTTTGAGAGCCGGAATTTCATTCAAGAATTGTTATATGGACGTGACCTAGGTACACTGGTTTCATTTTTTGAAATTTCAGTGCATAACGTAAGTAAGTTGTAAAGCATAGTGTTCATTTAGATGTATTGAAGATAATTGACACGCTGGAACGAGTGCGGAAAAAATGGGCTGATGAAGTTCAACAGAATATTAGACTGAGAGAGCAAGTAAAAGAATTGGAAAGTGACCGAGAGTATGCTTCTATAGTGTTTTTTGCTAAACCAACAGTTGTAAAATCTTTTAAAAATGTACTAGACGTTATTTCTTGTACTTTTCAATTAGTATTGCTGTTCACTGCGTTAGGCTTAGGAGGGATTTATCTTATACTAAAAAGTTCAGAATATTTGTAGTTTGCAACGCCAGAAACTTTCCTCTTCCAATGAAGAACTTCGCCATGCACGTGCTCAACTGGCGGCACTGATGTCAGAAATGGACGAGCTCAAAATTGAATATAGTGAAATGGAGCGTAAATTTGATCTCGTTAAAGAATTAGTTAAGGTATAGGATAGTGCGTTACTCAAAGCTTAAAGGTTTTCTTGAAGTATTCAACAAATGCTTTTAACCGCCGATCAAAAATAACTTTTAGATTATTTGGAAATAAACTTGTTTAGCCAGAAATTTCTCATTTAAATGGCGAAGCGCAGCTGAAGTACGCGTTTTTAAATGACTATACAGCTGGTCAAAAAGTGTCAGTTCATTCAACACGTTTACCACCTGGGAGGAAAACGAACGGTTCTCAGGATGATGGCGTAGATTATGATAAAACTGACGATACTATTGACCAGCCGTCTTATGGAGAACCAAACGAAGAAGATTCGTGTTTGCGAAGCGGTAAAGTTTTTCGCAGGTACGAGTAAAACACTGTAATTTCTTTTGTACCTTTCTGCTAAACAATTTTAATGGAATGATAATGAAATTCAGATTACTGTAGTATCTTGATAACTGCAGGTCACAGAATTTGCATCTCGCTGGTGCGTCGAAACGTTCCAAAAGTAACAGCCACCACCTTGAAATTGTTGATGAAGAAAGTGTAAGAAGATGATATTGTTTTTTTTTTCTTTC